GGGCATGGGAGTGGCGCCGTGCGTTGTGCTGTTTGGGTGGGGGAAGCCACAGTCAAGCGGCCAGGCTGGCAGCTCCAAGCTTGACCCTTGGGAAGGGCTGAAGGGAGAGTAAATACTGGTGGGGCCCACGTGGCCCGGCCGGGAATGTGCTGCTTCAGCAGGCAGCAGCTTGCCTTTTTTTATCAGAGAGCCTGTGCCGGAGCCAGCAGCAGCTCCTGAGCCTGCCGGGCCTCCGGGCTCGGCTGCCGCAAACAAGGCTGCTCACAGCACGGCCGGGGCAGGTGCGGAAATATTTCCGAGCCCGCATTTTCCGTTCGTGTTCTCTGCGGAAGGCAAACACCAGCAGCTCGTAAATTCACCGGCAGAAAGCACTGGGTCTCCCTGCTTTGCGGAGCCAGCCCTGCTCCTGGGCTGCGTGACAACTGTGGCACCGGCCCTGCTCCACGAGTGACACTGTGGGGTGAAGGGATCCCTGCCAGCCAGGGCAGGACCTGGGAAACAGGGCAGGAACACCGCCAGCTATGAGCTTTGTGGGGCAGCCAGGAGACATCTCTGCACCTCCCAAAGTGCAGACCACGAAGAAATAACACGGGCTTGGCTTAAACACAGTTTCTCAGTTGCAAAAAAATGTGTCTCCCCACCAGCATCCCGGCAGGCTGCAAGTAAAACGGCTTTGGGTATTTGAATTGTCACCCAGCAGGCCCCAGCTGTGCCCAAAGCGGAGGCTGGCTGTGGGGATGCACCCCCAGGGGACAAGGACGGGGCTGGCACCCCCCTCCCGTGCCCTGGTACCCAGCCCTCACTCCGCTCCATCCCCGGGCAGGGTGCAGACAGGCTGGCTTTTGGGTTCTTTCCCAACCGCGTCTTTTCTGTGTGTCGGGAGCTTTGGCACGTATCTTCTTCCACATCCCAAAGATCCCCACCCCTGCGCAGGGCAGTGGCTTTGACCACCCAGACACACCTCCACCAAGCCCTGCTTGAGAAGAGGAGGAGGAGGGAGCCCACGAAGGCATAAATACAGCCCCCGAGGGAGCGCAGGGCTGGATGCAGGCAAGGCCAACACATCCACCGCAGAGCATGTCCCAGGCTCCCAAGAGGAGCTGCTTTCTTGGAAAGGCAGGTTGCGAGCGGGATGACTCAGGTCAGCGGCTCTCGCTGCCAACCCAAACTCACAGCCCGGCCTCATTCCCACCCTGCGGAGACGTTTCCTGGGGCTGCCCCTCCGGCTCTGGCAGCAGGAGCACGGGAGAGAGCTGCACCAGCCCCATCACCCTGGTTTCTGACACAGGCGCTCCTTTCCATTCCTTAGGACCCCAGAGATGTTTCACGCAGTTAGAAGCATCTGATGGGATAGCGGTGGCTCCCAGGCAGAGAGGGACGAGGAAGGCCAGCCGGGAGCGTGCTTTGATGCCCACCAGCTCCTGCTGCTGACCCTATTCCTCCCGTGTTCACCAGCATGAGGTCTTCTGCAAGGTGTGGGAAGGCAAAGCGTGGCTATCGCACCCCTCTTTGCCATCTCAGAGCACTCAAGGGCTGCCGAGCCCCTGCCACAGGGTTTATGTGCCTGGGAGCAAAAGAAAATAGGCAAAGAGAAGGCAGCTGCCGCAGTTCTGTAGCCAGCGCTGAGGCACGGTGGCTCTTCCAGCTCCCGGATCGGGCTTGTGCCAAGACCAGCGTGCCGGCTGGGAGGGAGCCGCAGGTGCAGGATGTCCCATGCCCTGCCCGAGGGTGGCTGCCCAGCCCCAGCGAAAGCTCTGCGATCTGCGGAGAGGAACGGGTGCCAGGCAGACAAGCAATTAGCTCCAGTTCTCAGAAGTACTCTTTTAGACCCTGACTTTTCTCCTCTTGCCCAGAGACAAGTAATTGTGTGTCTCAGCGGGACTGAACG